TATGTTCTAATTTACCAAAACACATTTACTCTGCAATTTGTATTGGCTATGATAGGATTTAAAATTCATATTTTTTAATAATTATTTTATTATAAACATAGTAAGCATTATTATTATTTGTCAGATGTAATTTTTCTTATTATGTAAGAGTTAATGGTGAATACTGACAATAGAAAATTAAATAAAATGTTCAATGATGACAGCTATATCACATTAATAAGTCACTAGACGTAGAGTTGCTATGTTTCTACCTTTGTAGTTATTATAATAGGGCGTTCAGCTCACTGTTTGAAAAAATAACCTAATCTGCATATTGTTATTGTTAATGGATAGCTAGTCTATATACTTTTTAATTAACTTATAGCTATTACTATATAAACATACCTTGCTCTTGGAAATGCCAAATAATTGTTGCATGAATTGGCGAAACAGTAAAATTTAATGTTTTATCTTTTAACACCAAATCTATATTGATGATTCCAAGATTAGGCTTCCAATTTAAAGTTCTATTACCCTATAAAAAATATTTTTTGATTAGATAAGTTTTTTGTAATAATATTATCACAATTATCTACTAACTACTAGTAGCTAACTGTGTAATATATTACCAATGTTACTAACTTTAAATGATTCAAATGCTTTTGTATAGTTATCTAAGTGCTTTTGAATGACTGAAGGTAACTCTACATTAAAATTATCTTTGAAGTTAGGCCAAAATTGATTGGATACAATGATAGCTCTAACTGGAAACTCAAGTTTGTTATTTAGATTATTAGATGATAAATTTGAAGTTGGATCAGAATATAAATGATGGTTAATGCGTTTTGAGTCATATACATCTTTTAACATTACAGAACATGAATGTAATAATGAATCACCAAATCTATAAAGTAAAAAAGCGTATATTCATTAATATTTATAAGATACATATTTTGTAAACATTTTTAGGTATAAATACTTGCCTCAATTTTAATAACTCCAGGTATCTAATTTCATCACCTATATTGTCCATAAACTGGGTAAGTAGGCGATCAGCTAATAAAGCTCTATATTCATTAACAAATAATTCTCGTGTACCATAAATATCAACAAGCATTGATACAGTATCCGAATTGCGGAAACGTTTAGAAGATTTAGCTAAAAATAATTAAATTAATATAGTACATTGATTAAAACAAATAAAAAACTTACATGGATTAGCATCTACTGGATCTGGTACCCATTTAGCCCATTCTGCCATACTTTCTTCTTCACAAACATCATCTTCGTCTAAAACGTTTTCATTTCTCACTAGTTCATCAGTTAAATAATGRCCTTCTTCTGTAAGAGTAGTCATTACACATCGAACTGTATCCTTCCGACTTCTCAAATACGCTCTAAAATATAAATATTGAGAATATAATAATGATTAAAAATATTAGATTAATAATTAGTTTTTTTTACCGTATCGGTTGAGTAACATCTTGTAAAAGTGCCCCACAAGGATCAATTTTTCTTAATACTTTAATTGCAGCAGTATATGCAGTTATAATGTCAATTGTATTCACAGCTGGATGCAGTAATCTACTATGTAAAGCATTTTGCAATTTTTTACATAGGTCAGATTTAAAATCAGTCTTTTGAAGTGTTAATGATAAATCAATAACGGCGGGTTCTGAATCTGGATATTCTACAAATATCAAAATATACTTAGAGTTGTTCATTTTAGTATCAAATACAAAATATTTTACCAATAATTATGTTAAATAATTGATCGATCCTTGTTCTAGTATATGATTCATAAAGTAGGTGTTTAAGTTTCCTCATAAATATCTTTAAATTAGGACATTTATGTTCTATTTTATATCCTCTGATTTCTGTACTACATTTTGGATCATATATATATTTCATCCAATTATAAACATTTGTATCTATCCACTAGAATAAACAAATACACTCAGATAAATACCAATAGTTTTTCGATGCCACAAGGTACTGTTCTTGGCACAATATTATTTATCATTTATATAAATAGACTTTTAACTTAAACCTAAATGCAGATGTTATGTGCTATTGCAGATGATATAATTGTACTTTAAAAAAATAGAGATTATAACAAACTAATATAAGAATCGAATATATGTCTGGAGTTGATTAAGAATTGGTGTGACAATAACAATCTTCAACTGAATTTAACTAAATCTAAATATATTATTTTTAATATTTCTAATTATATGAGTACCCACGTCATGTAATTTTCAATCTGTATTATGTATACATTCATATAATTGTAAATATTTAAATTTTCCTTGTAATTGTGTTCCTTTAGAGAGAGTGGATAATATTAAATAATTAGGTWTTTTTTTTGACCATAGGCTAAAATTTGTTGACCATATTTATTCTGTTAATAATTCAATTAGAAAATTATTTTATGAATTTAAAATTCTCCGTAATATCTTAGATCTTATAACTAAGATTAGTATTCTTAGCATTAGCACAATCAATTTATTTATATGGCTCTTTGGTCTGGGGTTGTACATACTCCAGTCATATTAATGTATTAAGTACAACTATAAAGGATTTGATAAAAATTATTTTAAATAAACCAAGATTTTATTCTTCTAATTTAATATTTTCAATTCTTAATGTTCAACCTTTTAAGATATCTTTTGAACGTCAAATTTTATTATATATGTATAAAATTAAAAACTTAATTAAGGATTATCAACCATTGCATTTTTACAATACAAGACTAAAAAATAATAACAATCTAAATGTTCCCCAGAATAAAACTAATTTTGGTAATCAAAGCACTATTATTAAAAGTGTTTTATTATTACGAGTATATAATATAAATATTTTTTCTTTTATTTATTTTAATCAATATAAATTTCATGTAATTAGTGTTCTTTCA